ATATTGGTGTTTATGCTAGCCCTAGAGGAATTTGATATTGATGAATTTGAAGTTCCACTCTATCAAGGAAAGAATAAATGCCACTTTAAGATCCATCTTTTTAGCCGTATGAAACAAATGGTTTCATTTTAAACAGATAAAAGAAACATAAATAAACAAAATTTGACACATCTAAGAAAAGCTTAATATTCCTCAGTTTGTTGTTATCTAATACACAAGTAAATCAACACACCCTTTGAGAATATGAATCTTTAAAGAATTGGTTTGAGAGGTTTTCCCTCCTTCACTCCTCTCATTCTCCTTCAGATGAAAGATCTCACACTTACTGTCATGCAAAGGCCAATTAAGAGGTACAACAAGAGCCGGCTCAAGGTGTTTTTTCTCATATTTATTTATAATTCTTACAAAAGATCATCTACGATGGATATAAATGCATGTCTTATGCATATTCTCCTTGATTACGAAGTTGTTGAAGTATTGTATCTTAAACTGCAAATCTTTGAGGTCTTAAAATGCAGGCATCTGCAGTATCTCATATACTGCAATTTGAAGAGAAATAAACTATTGTTGAAGTCTCATTTGAATATCATGTAATCCTTATTCAATCTTCGTAAAGAAAAATTCAATAGAACAATATCTTATCGATTCTTTAGTCCAAAAATCCAATACCTTTCTATTGAATGGCATACGATCGTGTGTATCGCTAGTAGACCGGCTGATCCTAAATAAGATACTTGATGTCAAGTTTGCCCCATGTTTTTTGAAGAAGACGATCATCTTGATAACAATCATCATTGTCCGATATGAGAGACAGAGCAATGAAACAATAAATCTGACAGCTTGTAAATCACTTATCAACTGAGACACAATTAAAAATTCCAAATTAGCTTGAAAATTTGTCTCATAAATTGCCATGTATACAGTAGTAGGGGAACATACTCGATCAATTGGAGCTGGTAATTTCACAAACTTGTCATTAAAAAAAGTGAAACTTTTTTTTAAAAAATATCATGTTATCATGTGTAAGCCTCGATATTGCCTCCTCAAGATCATAGTACTTCCTCTGATTTTTGGCCGTCGGGAATATATGGGCATCAACATCTCGAAGCGCGAAAAATCTCACCTAGAAAGTGCAATGGTAATGTAGAAAGAGGCACAATAATATGCCACGAGACTCTGGGGTTGCGCAACACTAACACAAAAAGAGGCACAACATCAGACTAAGAGACTCTGGAGTTATGCAACACCAACGCAGAAAGGGGTAGAAAGAGACACAACAACAAGTCAAGAGGCTCCTAGGTTGCACAATCCAACACAAAAAGAAGCACAATAGCAAGCCAAGGGACTCTAAGTGACACTTCAACCTGGAAAGGGGAAGTGTGTCTTCTCCCCTTAATTTCAGGTCAATTTATAAGTGAAATACATGATTTATTGGCACAAAAAAACCAAGAAATCCATTTTTTTTTTAATCTGAAAACTCTCGACCCATGTCGGTTGCCTGATCCACACTGCCCGTGTGATTCTTCACAGCATTGTATAATTCGCTTGACGTGCCAGATCCTTATGATCACAATTCTATAGCCCAAATCACACGAGAGCACGACCCGACCTAACCCAACCAGTCCACCCAACTGTTGCCCGACCTAACCGACACATCTCACGACCCACATCGTCAGTGATCCACAATGGCATGCGATCCACATCGACCCAATATGACTCATGTAGTCCACTAAACTTATGGCTCAATCACCGCCTTTTATCCTATGACTTGGATGTCGACCAACAACCCATCAATATAGGTGTGAACGATCTATTTTACCCTGATCCAATGCCTGTTTGAGAATAGATCAAAATTTTTTTAAGTGGATCGAAATCGGATCATAGATCGAACATGATAAACTTTGATCCAATCCGGTGTAGATTGATCCAATTTTTCGAGTCAGCTCGAATTGTAAACAAGTCGACTTGAATGTTATTTTTTCCTCATGAGCTAGATCGGTCCGGCTCGAACCCACTTTGGCACGCCCTGAAAGCCCACAAGTAAAACATGCGGTTTTTGTGAAAAGAGGGATTCAAACCCCGCCATTCCTCTCAAGCAAAATATCCCTCAGCAATCGAGCTGGCGATGCGTTATACATGTAAAATCAAAAAGTTTAGGTGTTAAATATGAAAATACATAAGAATTTGTTTTGATCCCGTTTCGATATTCGAGCCGAGGACAAATCCAAATAAATTCAATCATTTAATTTAGCTTGTGGCTCGACTCGAATTGTTAACTCAGAATTAAAATTATGTTTTATTTTCGTGCGATTTATGATCTTCGAGCCAATTTCACAACCCTAGTTGTCGACCAAGTTAGACCTTGGTCTCACACACATTTTTTCGCTATCACTGATCATCAAGATTTTCAAATAGTTTATTTTATTATTTAAGGATGATATGAACTAAATCATAAAAAATATGGGTTAAGTGACATGTCATCGACCCATTTATCCATTTGACACGAAATTCAATGCATTTGACATAAATCACAAGTCATCTTTCAACAAAAAAATGTTTCAACCTAAATTAAAAAATCATTCAGAGCTCTGATTTCAACAAACCTATAATCAAACTGATTGATGGACAAGACAAAGCGAGTGATGCAAAAATTGATCTGTAAACCATTAAACCACTTTTGGAGGCTTTGAGTGGTTAATTAGAGGGTCAAGTGAACTTCAAATTTGATGTATATAATCAAATCGAGCTTCTCGATGAAAGGATTTGACGAGCAAAGGATGACCAGATTCATAGGTCACTAAGACCATTAGATCTTCAAATAATATTTTATGATAAAATGAAATCAACTTAGATTATTTGAATAGGTGGTTATAAAAGTTATTTGTTAAAGGATAAAAATACCCTCCCTTAGGGGATGTAAATAGAGAAAACATGCTTTTTTGAAGTATATAACTATAAGATCTGTAGTGGAAAAGAAGAAGCCTAATTCTCTTTAAAAATTCATGTGTTATTATGTGCTGAAGGTTGAGCGATAACTTCTGGCATCCATAGTTGCTGACCATAATCGACCATCACTTGCCGACAATCGTCGACCTCCCTACTCGCCGCCGTTGGAGGATTCTATTGAGTGACGAAATGTAGTGTTGAATTACGAAGTACTCTTTTGAGTTATGAAAGTTTCTGTTAAGTAATGAATTTCTCTGTTGAGTAATAAAATACTTTGCATACGAAGTAATACAATATCCCAAATGTCGTGCATTGACATACCCTGAACTTTACTAAGACTCATAGATAAATCCTGGTGGCATCTGCTTTGGATAACTTTACTAAGAATGTAGTAAATCTTTTTTATATATTATATACTGAAAAATAGTGTAACATTGTAACATTTTCCTAGTTGTAGGATAAATGTCTATCTTTATACTTGAGAACTTATAGTAGATTAATTGACTGGTTAAAACCTTGTGATTTTTTTCCTTTTCCATATTTTTTTCACGTAAAAGTCAGCGTGTCTTCTCGTGCTACTCTTAACGTATTTGTGTATGTGTTGGATATTCGTGCAATGTTAAGACGTCAAATTGTCACTCTATCGTCACAAATTTTTCGACACGCAACAATCTCATGGTACATGCACATTTTATTTTGACCCTTGTACCTCTCCATAAATTTATGCACATAAATTCACAATAAATCGATCAATCAAGCAACATTTTCATATATAGTTATTGTATAATGCATCAATACAAATAAATAAACATTACGGTGGACCTAAAATGATTTGTATTGAGCCATGAAAATTGTCTGAAAATCTAGAAACATGACAATATATCACATTTTATAACATCTATCAACATATTTAACTAAAATTACATGAATTGCATTGTATAACAATAAAAAAATATTTGTAAAGTTAAGATGGTGTTTTTGGCATGTTGTTATTAATTTTAATAATTATTATAAGCTTGATAAAATATTAAAAAGGTTTACATAATATAAAATATTTGGTGATAATAAAGTATAATTATACTATATATGTAGAATAATTAGAATGAAAACGTTTTAAAAGCTATGCAGTGAAATGTATTCAAATATAAAGTTATTTACTTTTTTGATAGAACTTATTTAAATAAAATTTTAAAATGTTATAAAAATCAATATCATTGAAAAATGATATTCTATTTTGAGCAGAATATTTTTTCTAACTGTCTCCACACACTCAATCAACTATAAGGGTTCGTTTGGGGCAGCTTATTCGTGCGTTTTACCTGCTTATCTGAAAATGCTATTTTATCGCGGCCGACCCGCGGGCCACGCTTCAAGATAAGCTGCGTACAAACTGCCCCAAACGCACACTAAGTCCCCCAAAACTTACTTTTTTTATCTATCTAGATTGCTTTGTGGGTGAGCAAATGAAAATAAAAATACGTGAATTAGAAAGGTGAGAGGGAAATTATATAAATTATTTTTTTTGTAAGTAGGATAAAAATAATATAAATGTAATTACAAATTATATTAAATAATATTTATATATAATTGTTCAATATTTAAAATCATTTGAAAATTAGTTTTTAAGAAATTTCTAGAAGCACTTGAAAAATTTGATATATATATATATATATATATATATATATA